TTAACTAACATGTTGACTGCTGTTAACTAACTTGTTGACTGCTGTTACCTAACCTATGGATGCTGTTATTATAGTGTTGGACTACTGTTATGTAACTTGTGGCCTGTTGTTAACTAACCTTTGGATGAGATTGGTAAAGTTTTAGTCTGCTGTTAACTAACTTGTTGACTGCTGTTAACTAACTTGTTGACTGCTGTTAACTTGTTAACTGTTGTTAACTAACCTTTGGATGCTGTTAGTGAAGTTTTAGACCGCCGTTAGATAACTTGGGGTCCCAAATTTATCTAACGGCGGTGCGTCCCCAAGTTAGCTGACAGTTACATGTCTGGCCCTCTATGGTGTCCTTCTTTGTCCCTCTCTGGTACTCTGTACCAGTGTCTTGTGTCCCTCACTGTCCTTGTCTGACCCTCTGTGTCCGTGTTGAGCAGTTAATAAATTGTCAAAAGACAAACGGTTTGAGCTCAGAGTAATTTGTGTGTGTGAGACAGACGAGTCCTGGGCTGCAGTGTTGGTGTTGGTTGTTACTCTGGGGACCCCCTCCATCATCATCATCCTCCTCCTCCACGCATGCCCCATCCGCTCACGTGATGAGCGTGTGCTCTGCCTAGCTCTAGTGTCAGCCATCTTGGTCCACACCCACCCAGAGCATTCACTGCGGTGCGCTGGTGGCCCAGTCAGACGACCTGGTGTTGAGCTGAGATTCTTTTTTTCAGTACGGTGCTCTGCTGTCTTTTAAATCCTCACTTTACAAGAGGGAGAAGAGGAGGAGGAGGAGGAGCGCTGCCGTTCTCTAGACAGCAGCTGTGTGAAGAGGAGGAGGGGATGCAGGCATAAAGCGCTCCTCCAGACACCTGCTGTGCCGTCTTCATCTCTGATTATTGCTCTTCTCTTCTGTATTGATGCGTTCTTCCTCCTCTTGCAGCTCGTCTTCTCTCTGAGCAGCTGTTTTTGGTCGTAGCTCCCAGAACAAAGGCTGCTACGCCTCTTTCCCCATCTCTCTCTGGGCGCTGTTGGTTTTTGCCCTGCGAACGCTGAGTCATCATGTCTGATCTGACGCCTCAGAGCGAGACCCCGACTCCCACCACAGACAAGATCACCCAGGCCGCCCGGGAGACCATCTATCTCTGCAACTTTCGTGTTTCTGTCGATGGCGAGTGGCTCTGCCTCCGTGAGCTCAACGACATCTCGCTCACGCCGGACCCAGAGCCAGCCCATGAAGGTAACGAGGAGGAGGTCTGTGGGCTTGTTGTGATCACCATCAGGATCAGGGTGTGGTGTTCCACCAGGTCCCAACGTTGTACGTCTTTCACATGGTGGGGACACGTCCTGTTTGAGCTGTGTCATGATGGAGCTCCTGAGAACCAAACAGCCGGATGACGCCACTCGTAAAGAAGTCACGGCGCAACCAGGAAGTTCTGTTTCTTTTATCAGACCTCATTAGCTCGTTATTTCAGTGCCTGCTGAGAAGATTTTCATGTATTTTAGCTCATAAAATGTCACAAACAGCAACTATAGGTTTACAAAAGAGACTGAAACATTTACAACAAATGGACACAACAGAATACATGTGTGAAAATACACAAATGTACTTTGTACTTGACTTTTGCTGCAGCAGACAAAAGTACAAAAAAGAGTCCAGGCAGGATGGAGTGATGGAGAAAAGGTTCAGGAGTGATTTGAGACAAAAAGGGTGTCGGCAAAGGTCAAAGGAAAAGTTTACAAGACAGTGGTGAGACCAGCTATGTTGTCTGGTCTGGAGACAGAGACATGGACGAAAAGACAGGAGACAGAGACATGGACAAAAAGACAGGAGACAGAGACATGGACAAAAAGACAGAAGACAGAGACGTGGACAAAAAGACAGGAGACAGAGACATGGACAAAAAGACAGGAGACAGAGACGTGGACAAAAAGACAGGAGACAAAGACATGGACAAAAATACAGGTAGATAGAGACATGGACTAAAAGACAGGAGACAAAGACATGGACAAAAATACAGGTAGACAGAAACATGGACAAAAATACAGGAGACAGAGACTTGGATAAAAGGACAGGAGACAGAGACATGGACAAAACGACAGTAGACAGAGACATGGAAAACAAGACAGGAGACAAAGACATGGATGAAAAAGACAGGAGACAAAGACATGGACAAAAATACTGGTAGACAAAGACATGGACAAAAAGACAGGAGACAAAGACATGGACAAAAATACAGGTAGACAGAGACATGGACAAAAATACATGGACAAAAAGACAGGTAGACAGAGACATAGACAAAAAGACAGGAGACAAAGACATGGACAAAAAGACATGGACAAAAAGACATGGGTGAAAAAGACAGGAGACAAAGACATGGACACAAATACATGTAGACAGAGACATGGACAAAAATACAGGTAGACAGAGACATGGACAAAAAGACAGGAGACAAAGAAGGACAAAACACATGGACGAAAAAGACAGGAGACAAAGACATGGACGCATATACATGTAGACAGAGACATGGACACAAATACATGTAGACAGAGACATGGACAAAAAGATAGGGGACAGAGACATGGACAAAAAGACAGGAGACAGAGACATGGACAAATAGACAGGAGACAAAGACATGGATGAAAAAGACAGGAAACAAAGACATGGACACAAATACATGTAGACAGAGACATGGACAAAAAGACAGGAGACAGAGACATGGACAAATAGACAGGAGACAAAGACATGGATGAAAAAGACAGGAGACAGACATGGATGAAAAAGACAGGAGACAAAGACATGCACAAAAAGACAGGAGACAAAGACATGGACAAAAATACAGGTAGATAGAGACATGGACTAAAAGACAGGAGATAAAGACATGGACAACAAGACAGGAGACAGAACTGGAAGTGTCAGAAATGAAGATGTTGAGGTTCTCCTTAGGAGAGACAAGGATGGAGAAGATCAGGAATGAGATCATCAGAGGTACAGCACAGGTTGAACAACTGGGAGATAAAGTTAGAGAGGACACACTGAGATGGTTTGGACATGTCCAGAGGATGGACAGTGGTTTGGACATGTCCAGAGGAAGGACAGTGGTTTGGACGTGTCCAGAGGAAGGACAGTGGTTTGGACAT